ACCTCTATAGTAAAACTGCTCAATGTTTGCATATACTAGTATACTTATATATAATACTCATTTAAATCAAGCATTAAGAGGCATGGTCTAGCAGCACATTGTAGTGAAGTGCATGATTTCAGAGCTCCCCAGAAACATGACCTGAAACAGTGTTTTTTACAGCATTACCTGCAAATTGCCTGAGCAAGGTCTGCCCTTACTACTCCTGAGAGATATGACCAATAAATCAAGCAAAAATCCAAACAAAAACCCTAAAATGTGCAAGCTTCCTTTTTGTACTCCAGCTCCAGCTGTGGACCCAAGATGGTGCCGAAAAGCCAGCATGCTCAGCCTTGTGTTCTGACAAGAGTGACATCACTTCAATATCGGCGCTCTCACTTTTTCCAGTGATGGACTGTTCTGCTCAAAGAATGCTGAATGAGCTGAAAATCATGCTTCATGTGGAGTTTGCCAAATTGGCCTCAGATGTCCAGGTGGACATACAAGTGATAGGTGAACACACTGCTCATCTCGAGGAGAAGGTGAAGGAGATAACTGAGGCACACAATTCCCTGGCTGACACCTATACAGCTTTGAAATAAAAACTGCAAGAACTAGAAGACAAGGTCGCCGACCACGAAGACTGTGTAATAATATTAGAATATGTGGAGTACCAGAGGAAGTGAAGCCACAGGAATTAGAGGGTTATGTGATTTCCTTATCTTATTTACAGATAACATTTTTCTTTCATTGACAGACCCAAACAGCTTATTACCCCATTTGTTCTCCCCCTTGGAAGAGTACAGGAAGATTTCCTATTATAAACTAAAACAATCTAACACACAGCCCTCAGTGTAAACATGCCGACCACAGTAATTCAAACTCTAAAAGTAAATTACCACTTTGACTGGAGAACAGCCTATATCACATACTTAGGAGTTAAAATACCCTTGAGGACTAATGCCATAATGAAATACAATTATACATCAAGTTTGAATATTTATAAATTGTTGCTCCAAAAATGTCAAACTCTACTGGTTGGGCAAAATTAATTTTCTGAAAATTATGTTGCTTCCCCTGAGTATTATAACGCTCCTGCGGACACGCCACAATGGGTTGACATAGAGCATAGACAGCGCCCAAATAATGCTGTAATAGATCATCTGTGAACCCCTTGCACCTTCTGCAAGAAAATTATATCTCTGTTTCCAACTACAGATGTGACTATCCAGTTGTGGAACTAGTTCAGATCCTCCTTGGGATGTCGATCATACTTTCATCTTAAAGCCCCACTGTTAGTTATGCAAGCAATTTCATCTTGGATTTCTTTTTTCAGGTGGTCTGAGGTGGGGGTTACAAATATAGCTCAATTACATGACAAAGCTCCCTTGTTTTTTTCCTAAACTCCAATAGGAGTTCCAGTTCTGTCCACAATGTATTTTTTCAAATTTCATATTTGCAAATAAAACCTTGTCCTGAGTGTTGAACCAGAGTGTATCCCTGGGCTCCTCTATGGTTCCTTCCCAGTTGGTAATGCATGAATGCTAGACAGCTCCTATAAAGTTCACAACTCTCTCATTGTGCTATAGAAAATTAATGGAGCTTTTGCCTGTGAAGCCACTTGCCTATAGATGACAATCGGAGGAAGAATGTTCTCTCTTGACTCTCGAACCAGAAGTGGACACAAGTCCTCAATACTCTGCCTAATTTTACCAAATGCTGGAGATGTGGAGAGCATGAGGGCAATATTTTACATATTTGGTAGACATGCATTGAAATCCAGCCATTATGAAAAAAGAGTGCCCAATCTATTGTTTTCTTTAGGTATTCACGGCTACCAAATATCCCCCTCCACTTGTCTGTTTCTCCTAATCCCTCCAAAATTGCACTCCAGTTCCCATTAGCTGATTGTCGTTATAATAGTTTCAGCACCAAGCTTATTTGCAACTGCATGGAAAAAGACTAGCTGTCCCTCACATTCACAACTCACTAAAAAAATACACCAGATGTGTGTGGGTTGAGGGGGGAGGAATGCTACGCTTCCAAATATACACATTCTGAAGGAGCTAATATTTCTTAAGGAGGGAACTAGGTAAAGAAATAGTCAGTAGTGATGTCCCGAACGGTTCGCCGGTGACTAGTTCCTGGCGAACATAGCGTGTTCGCGTTCGCCACGGACGACGAACATATGCGATGTTCGGTCCGCCCCCTATTAATTTACTAATACTAAGTAAAAATTACTTAGTATTAGTAAATTGTGCCCCTACTCGCAATACCGCGAGTAGGGGCATGTCTATTAAACAGTGAGCAGCCTGTGGCTGCTCACTGTTTAAAAAAAAAAAGGGTCCCCCCCCGGTGGGGGCCCTAAATACTAATGGGGGGGACCTATTGTCCTCCCCCCGGCCCCCACCCCTGAGCGGTGGGTGGGGGCCCTAAAATGAACAATAAGGCGGGGACCTATTGTCCCTCCCCGCCCCCACCCCTGCGGGGTGGGTGGGGGCCATATTGATAATGAGGGGGGGACCTACTGCCCCCCCTGGCCCTCACCCCTGCACGGCGGGTGGGGGCCATATTGATAATGAGGGGGGGACCTACTGTCCACCCCCCTCCGGCCCCCACCCCTGGGCGGCGGGTGGGGGCCGTAAAGATAATGGGGGGGGACCTACTGTCCACCCCACCTGCCCCCACCCCTGGGCTGCAGGTGGGGGCCCTAAGTAAATTCCCCCCCAGGTGACTAGGGGTCCCCAAGCCCCTAGTCCTTCCCCCCCCAAATAAAAAGTCCCTACCTACCCCCCTCACCCTAAAAAATAGTGAGGGGGGAATAAAATAACTAATCTGTAAAATAAAATTAAACTTACCATTCAACGTCTTCTTTTTTCTCAAATCTTCATTTTTCAGCCCCAAAAAAGGCCAAATAAAAAACCAACATAACCGTCGAACTAAAAAAAAAAAAAATCCCGAAAAAAAACCAGACGAAAAAGAAAAACCCGAAAGCAAAAAAATAATCCATCTTCACCCATGGAGGGCTCCGCAGACTGAGCTCGCAGGGCGGGGAAGGCTTATAAAGCCTTGCCCCGCCCTGCAATTAGGCTAAGAACACTCTGATTGGTGGGTTTAAGCCAATCACAGTGCTCTGTGTCATTTTACACAGAACACGCTCTGATGAAACCATCCAATCACAGTGCTCTGTGTCATTTTACACAGCGTGGGAAAGTTTTGAAATCCATCCAATCACAGTGCTCTGTGTCATTTTACACAGCGGAAAGTTCTTTGAATTTTCCCACACTGTGTAAAATGACACAGAGCACTGTGATTGGATGGATTTCAAGCCATCCAATCACAGTGCTCTGTGTCATTTTACACAGCGTGAGAAAGTTCAATTTTCCCACGCTATGTAAAATGACACAGAGCACTGTGATTGGATGGCTTTCAAGCCATCCAATCACAGTGCTCTGTGTCATTTTACACAGCGTGGGAAAGTTCTTTGGAATTTCATGTTCGCGACATCACTAATATTCAGGGTGCAGAAAAGGTAAAGGATGTTATGCCACTTGTAAAATATTTTAATCTCCCTTCCCAATATTTATTCTAAGCTTGAGAGAATGAATAAAACAATTGAAATAGTGCTAAATCATGTTTTGTATTTTAAGTAATATTTTTACAGCGTTTTAAGTAGTATGTACAGTATGTTAAGAATATGTAACGTATATATTTTAGTTAATTTTAAAAGCATTAAGTATTGAAAGAAAACACTTTCTTTTTTAAATGAAGTGGGACCGCTGACTAAACTGTGAATTGCTTTATTTAACATGTGTGGATGTGCCCTCATAGAATGTGTGTTTCCCCTGTTTAACCTTCCCCTTTCTGTAGTTTTGACCGAACAACCCTGCAAAATACCTTTTGACCACCTGGGGGCGCTCCGGAGCCCCGTGCGCCGGACCACCCCGGCACTTCACTTAGAACGTTTTCTTAGAATGAACACACCTCACTAACGAGGTGTGAAAAACTGCAGACCGCAAGGGAACGAGTGGCGCGTGCTTCCCCTGGGTAGCCGTTGGTTCTTATTACCGAACGCCCACCATGGAGAGCGTTCATCTCCCGAACCATGCCGGACCACCCCAATACTTCAATTAGAACATTTAGTTTGAATGTTCACACCTCACTAACGAAGTGTGAAAACCACAGACCACAAGGGAATGAGCGGCTTGTGCTTCCCCTGTGTGGCCGCTGGTTCGTATCACGGAACGCCCACCAGGGGGAGCATTCGACTCCCGAACCAGCCTGAGTACACTGGCTTCGATTACGGTGTCATGGATCATCCTACCTGCTCCCCAACAGAGCTATAATCACTCATCCCTTTCCCCTACCTGGGAGCTATGAGGCTAGGCTCGTGGTTGCCCAGGAGAGCGCTCTCCCCAGTGGACACCTGCGTTGGGATATCCACCGGAGAGAGGTACAGACATCTTCCTATCTGGTGGGATCCATGTCTGGTTCATTTTAATAAACGTGAGCTTGTCCACGTTGGCTGTGGACAGGTGGCTGCACTTGTCTGTGATAACGCCCCCTGCCGTGCTAAACACACGTTCAGACAATACACTGGCTGCAGGGCAGGCCAGCACCTCCAAGGCATAAAGGGCAAGCTCAGGCCATGTGCCCAATTTGGAGACCCAGAAGTCGAATGGGGCAGACCCATCAGTCAGTACGTGTAGGCGTGTGCACACGTACTGTTCCACCACGTTGCTGAAATGCTGCCTCCTGCTAAGACGTTCCATATCAGCTGGGGTTGCTGGTTGTTGTGGCGTGCTGACAAAGCTTTTCCACTTTTTGGCCGTGCCCTAGCTGCGTTGGCGACCTCCTCCTCCTCCTCTGCCTTCGCCTTGTGTTTCCACTGAGCCCCCGGTGTCAGATGGGAATGCCCTCAGCAGCGCGTCTACCAGTGTGCGCTTGTAGACGCGCATCTTCCGATCACGCTCCAGGGAGGAATTAAGGATGGCACGATGTCCTTGTAACGGGGATCCAGCAGGTTGGCCACCCAGTAATCAACACAAGTTAGAATGTGGGCAACTCGGCAGTCGTTGCACAGGCACTTTGGTGACTCTAGATAACCTCGGGCCGATCGCACGTCCGCATAACGACGCATTCGGATGTCTGCCCTATCAACTTTCGATGGTACTTTCTGCGCCTACCATGGTGACCACGGGTAACGGGGAATCATGGTTCGATTCCGTAGAGGGAGCTTGAGAAACGGCTACTACATCCAAGGAAGGCAGCAGGCGTGCAAATTACCCACTCCCGATGCAGGGAGGCAGTAACGATAAATAACAATACAGGACTCTTTTGAGGCCCTGTAATTGGAATGAGTACACTTTAAATCCTTTAACAAGTATCTATTGGAGGGCAAGTCTGGTGCAGAGCGACTGACCCGTGCATGCTGCCGCTGAAACTCCACTATCGCCTGCTGCTGCTCGCACAGTCTCTCCAGCATGTGCAAGGTGGAGTTCCACCTTGTGGGCATGTCGCATATGAGGCGGTGAGTGGGAGGGCCGACGTTATGCTGCAGAGCAGACAGGCGAGCAGCAGCAGGGTGAGAACGCCAAAAGCACGCACAGACAGCCCGCACTTTCTGCAGCAGCTCTGATATATCTGGGTAGTTTTTCATGAGTTTCTGCACCACCAAATTCAGCACACGCGCCAGGCAAGGTATGTGCGTCAAACCGGCTAGGCCCAGAGCTGCTACGAGATTTCTCCCATTATTGCACACCACCAGGCCGGGTTTGAGGCTCAGTGGCAACAACCACTCATCAGTCTGTTATTCCATGCATGTCCACAGCTCCTGCGCGATGTGGGGTTTTCCCACCAAACATATGAGTTTTAAAACAGCCTGCTGTGCTGAAGTTGGTGGTGAAGGTGTTACGCTGGCCGGATGAGGAGGTGGTAGAGGAGGAGGAAGCGGAGTAGGAGGCAACAGAGGCAAAGAGAAATGCCCTGCAATCCTCGTGGCAGAAGGACATGCGCCAAACTGCTATCCGCCTCAGGCCCAGCCGCCACTACATTTGTCCAGTGTGCAGTTAGGGAAATATAGCGTCCCTGGCCGTGTTTACTGGTCCACGTATCAGTGGTTATTTTGGACCTTGCCAAAGATGGCGTTGCGCAGTGCACACCTGATTTTGCCCACCAATTGTTTGTGCTGGGAAGGGATGGCTCGCCTGGAAAAGTAGTGGCAGCAGGGAACCACGTACTGTGGGACAGCCACCGCAATGAGATTTTTAAAACTGTCCGTCTCCACCAGACAGAATAACAGCATTTCAAAGGCCAGGAATTTTGAAATGCTGGCATTTAGGGCCTGGGATCGCGGGTGGGTAGCGGGGTACTTCCTCACTTCTCAGTGATTATTTTTATTGGACTGCAAGAAATGCACCACAGGCCGCAAATGTTCTATTTAGCACAAAAAAGTGTGATTTTTTTAAACCAACAATGTAACAGTAGTATTTAAGGGTCTTATTGGACTGCAAGAAATGCACCGCAGGCTGCAAATGTACTATTTAGCACAAAAATTTTTTAATTTTTTAAAGTGCGATGTAACCACAGTATTTGACGGTTCTATTTGACTCTCAGATATGAAGTGCAGCGCAGGCAGCAAATGTACCATTTAGCACCAAAGAAATGTGAATTTTTCAAACTGCGATGTAACCACAGTATTTGACGGTTCTATTTGACTCTCAGATATGAAGTGCACGCCAAAAATGTACTTTTTAGCACCAAAAAAATGTGAATTAATCAAACTGCAATGACACATCAGTATTTCACGGTTCTATTTGACTCTCAGATATGAAGTGCCCACCTAACAAACAGACTTATTGCTTATTTCTCTGTGGCACTGGGCTCAGGACAGGGTACAAAAATGTAGTATAGCACCCACAAAAATAATCGCTGTAGTTTGAAGATTCAACACCAGAGTTCTTTCCTAATCTGTCCCTCACAGCTGCAGCATCCTCTCCCTACACTAATAAGAGCTCATGTGACTCCAGCTTATCACATGCTGCACTGGCATGGCTGTGATGGCTTCTAATGGCACATGAGTCAAACGCTTGTTGATTGGCTGCCCTGCAGCTTTTCAAAACGCGCCATTAAAATCGCCGAACACCGATCTCGAACCTGAACTGTCACTGAAATGTCCGGGCTCGGGGCTGGGGTCCAAAAATCGTAATGTTCAGTACGAACTCGAACTTTACAGTTCAGTTTTGCTCATCTCTAGTTGTGAGATATTCTATTCAGAGGTTTGAATAATGTTGAGACTGGAGAAGTCATTATACGTTGCATTTTCAGTTGAATATGGGGAAACCACTTAAAGTGTTGTTTTGATTAGTTATTTCATTTGCTTTTGTTTGGTTTGTTCATTGCAAACAGCTTAAAGTCTGTAAATTTTGACAATAAACCTGATTTTCAATGGGAATTTAATAATGTTGATCACAACTGTATATGACAGGATCCTTCAGCCATATACATGAATCTTGGGTCAGACAATGTTTTAAAACTGACAGTCTCTATGGTCTTACCTAATTCACTCCCTGCACAGAAGCAGGGAATACCATAGAGACTAACTGTTGTTTTTAAAACACTATCTGACCCAAGGTGCATGTATATCGCTGAAGGATCCTGTTATATGGGATAGTTATATATATATATATATATATATATATATATATGTATATATATATAAGTTTAAGTAGGTCATATCATTCCGACAATCAGGTTAGGGGAGGAGTGAATGGACTCTATCATTTCACTGTAAGCATTGATATATATATACATATATATATATATATATATATATATATCAATGCTTACAGTGTGTTTGATGTATATTGATATAACAGTTTTAAATACCTTTATTTAAAAAAATATGTGATTTAGCTATATTTAATGTATACAGTTATTATGAACAGATTCACACTCAAGCTGTTCTCATGGTATTGCCTTTAGGGTCCTTGAAAGGTTTTTGACCATTTTATTATATATTTTTGTTACACCTACTGTATGATAGAAATTTTTTTTGCTTTTATACTAACATTTCAGGCCCTGTGTTAAATATTGCAAGATATAGAAACTGTATATTATCTAAGCTTTTCATATCCCAAATATTTTATGAAGGATGAAAAATAAAAATGTGTAAATTTACATAATTTAAATTTTTAAGTTTGTCTACAAAGATATATATACCAAATTGTATTGTTAGGATATGTTTATATGCTAGCTCATTGCTTCAAATAAATGCTATGCTAATAACGTTTCAATTGAAGATGTTATTGATAGTGAAGGAGTGTAAAATAAATTTTCAAAGAGCAAGGAATACTTAGCTGGGTGTGTGGGGTGTAGGACACCCAGAATCAATTCAAAAGCTTACTTGACGTATGCCATAAATAGCACACTTTAGAAATTAGAATTAAAATGTATCTGTAGGCAAAATAACATTGAAATCCATAGGGTACATGCTCTCTATAACTTAAACTGAAGACTACAGATGTGCATTTTGCCAGTCAAGTGCAGATGATATTTCCTTAGGACTTATTCTAAACACTGAGAGAATGTAAATGTATTTTACATTATAATTAATTTGGGCAATGGGAATTGGATGAAATGTTAATTTGACCTTTAATTTAGTTTTATTTCTTAAGCAATAGTGTGACAAAATTAATAATTCAAGAAAGAAAAATATAAGGTATAGGTCTGAAGAAAAGTCTAAAGAAAGGGAAAAAAAAACAATTATAAATCTTACTAGTTAAATATTTAAAAAAAACAATTGATCTACACTAGTATTTCTTAAAGAAGCTGTAATTATTCCTAAGATTCTATAATATTAAGACTAACTGCTTACAGTCATATTGACTATTGTCATATTGCCTAATTCCAATTTTGAATAAAAATCCAAAAGGTGCAGGTGCACAATGTTATTTGGAAAATGGCAACCAGAGAAATATACTTGAACAGATAATAAGTGAAGTATACCAATATATACACACAAGTATATGAAGAAAGTCCTATTACACTGTGTATTCCAGCTGATCACAGACTCTCCATCCACGTGTCTTGAGAAAGCCCAGAGAGGCGGGGCGAAACATGTAGCACGCCGAACTCAGAAGTCACTACACATGGATGGAGAGTCTGTGATCAGCTGGAATACACAGTGTAATAGGACTTGTACGGTTTATTCACTGATATCCAGGACTATACTTGATCTACTCCTACACCACTTTTTTTATTATTTTTACCATTAATATATTTGTTTATTTGGCAATTAAAGAAATATTTTTGCATACTTCAACTATTCGTCTGAGAGTGAGTTCATCAAACACACTGCACTTGGATCCTACGTTCTCCAGGGGCTGATCCTCCCAGAGCCTGATAGTTTGGAGTGGTACTACAACCACTCCACAAATGTGAGTTTTATACTTTTACATATACCCTACAAAAGACTGTTTTACAATATAGCACTAGGTTCTTGTTTTTATGCATTTTAGATTAAGCTGTTCCTGTGTACAAGTGCAAGTATAAATTTGCTGTTTACATTATATTGTATATATTTTGCCTAACCACTTGGTGTTTTATGCATGCTTCAGCTGCTCACTGATCTTGTTTTTTTTTTTTGCATATACTTGTGTGTATATATTGGTATACTTCACTTATTATCTGTTCAAGTATAATTCTCTGGTTGCTATTTTCCAAATAACATTGCACACCTGCACCTTTTGGATTTTTATTCTTGATTTCTTTGAGGTTATTTATATCAGAACTCCTTGTAGGTTGCTGCATCCTCATAATATTATTTTATCATTATTTAGCTGATTCCCTATTGCGTCAACTTATTCCTTACACAATTCCTTTTAATTCCAATTTTGGTCACTGGATGCAATTTAATCCAATGACTGTGCTACTGCATATGTTTTATACGCTGTTTTTTCTTTGGGGGGGGGTTTTATGAGCTAACCAAATCAATCTGAGTAGCTCAGGAAAGTTCAAGTGAGGTGGTTCACTCTCTTTTCCCTCGTAAATATTCTGCACCTGGCTAATACTGATATATGTAGTTGACTCAACCGATATAAATATTAACCAGTAAGTTGGTAAAGGAGGGAAAGGAAGTGAAAAGAAAGGAGAAAGAAAAAAAGAGAAAGGACGTAATGCATACTAAATTCCTTCTGGCCACAGTGAAGTCATAAATCATTGGGCTATTAATTTAGTCTTCCTGAAGGCTTGATGGTCTACTAAACTGTAGATAGATGGAAAATCATTTAAGGCTGCTTTATTAGAGATA